GTAGTGTTTTCGTTTTTATTTGATTTAATTAATCAAAATAGTATTGAATTTGAAAATTGGTCAGAATTTTAATATTATTGGATTCCTATCGATTGTCAATACATTATAACATGTTAAATTTAGCAAGTGGCAAGAAAAGGATAGAAAATAAAAATGTACAACTGTGTGTGCGTGTGTTTTTGGCACTCCGAATTATAATGAATAACAAATGTTAAAAATCTATTTTCTAACCGATCCTTTAGTCACATTGGAAGGTCAAATCGAGCGTTGAGCACATTGTATTCAGGGCCGCATTAAGACCTCACTGGGCCCTGGGGCTATGACTTACTGCAGGGCCCCCCCATATATATATATATATATACACACACACAGTATCTCACAGAAGTGAGTACACCCCTCACATTTTTGTAAATATTTTATTAAATCTTTTCATGTGACAACACTGAAGAAATGACACTTTGCTACAATGTAAAGTAGTGAGTGTACAGCTTGTATAACAGTGTAAATTTGCTGTCCCCTCAAAATAACTCAACACACAGCCATTAATGTCTAAACCGCTGGCCACAAAAGTGAGTACACCCCTAAGGGGCAATGTCCAAATGGGGCCCAATTAGCCATTTTCTCTCCCCGGTGTCATGTGACTCATTAGTGTTACAAGGTCTCAGGTGTGAATGGGGAGCAGGTATGTTAAATTTGGTGTTATCGCTCTCACTCTCTCAAACTGGTCACTGGAAGTTCAACATGGCACCTTATGGCAAAGAACTCTCCGAGGATCTGAAAAAAAAATTGTCGCTCTACATAAAGATGGCGTAAGCTGTAAGAAGATTGCCAAGACCCTGAAACTGAGCTGCAGCTGCACGGTGGCCAAGACCATACAGCGGTTTAACAGGAGGGTAAAGGTGATGGATTGGCCAAGCATGTCTCCAGACCTAAACCCTATTGAGCATCTCAAGGTCTCTAACATCCACCAGCTCTGTGATGTCGTCATGAAGGAGTGGAAGAGAACTCCATGCCCAAGAGGGTTAAGGCAGTGCTGGAAAATAATGGTGGCCACACAAAATATTGACACTTTGGGCCCAATTTGGACATTTTCACTTAGGGGTGTACTCACTTTTGTGGCCAGCGGTTTAGACATTAGTGGCTGTATGTTGAGTTATTTTGAAGGGACAGCAAATTTACACTGTTATCCAAGCTGTACACTCACTACTTTACATTGTAGCAAAGTGTCATTTCTTCAGTGTTGTCACATGAAAAGATATAATAAAATATTTACAAAAATGTGAGGGGTGTAAAAAAAAAAAAAAAAACTAGCTCAAGTAAAACCAAGCTTGCTGAACAAGTAAACAATCACAAATTATAATAGCACAAAGATACATACGAAATCAACCTACTTGAAAACCTAAAAAAAAAAATATAAATATTAAATATTATATTGTATAAAGTAAATGTACAAATAGACTGAATAGTCTTCACTGTATAAATTCAATATACATTAATTCTTACTTATTTTACAAAAGTGATTCAGTCAAGGACAGTGAATGATTTTCTTTCTGATGTTTGATTTACATTATTGACACAAATGGCAACAGCAGCTATATTAGGCTGCTTTAGAAGAATAGTTCACCCAAAAATGAAAATTCTGTTGTTGTTCTAAACCTTCTTTAGTTGTTTCCCTCTGCTGTTGAACGCAAAAGAATATATTTGGAACAATACTGGTAACCGAAAAAAAAAAAGAAAGAAACACTATTGGAGTCAATGGGGACCAGAAAGTTTCTGGTTATAAACATTCTTCCAAATATCTTCAGTTTTGTTGAGGAGAACAAAGAAATTCATACAGGTTTCAAATTCATACAGAACAACTTGAGGGTGAGTAAATGCGGACAGTATTTTCATTTTTGGGTGAAGATAATGCCAGGATCTCATATAGCCTACTACTACACATGCTTTATCTTTAACTATTAATGTTCATGTAAGACACAACTGACTGTGTTGACGAGGATACTCGCAAAGACTGGCATTTTAACACATAACTATGTGTATTTGAACGTTTAAGCACAAGGCGCAAAAAAGAACGAATTACATTTTTTCTACCGGGTTATTTCCCAACCCTAAAGCGAATATATAGAGTTTGTTCAAACACAGAAAGCCAAATACATCCATCAAGTTAATAATCAAACTAACCTAAAATCTGTGTGGACGATGGCGCTGTTTTTATCTGCTCCATGTGCCCGGTCCACTTGCTGTTTCACAACTTCTACTCCATCATCATCTTTAGTAAAATAACTTGATAGCTGGGGATTTTACTAACTATGTTTTATCTGCTGTTTGTTTTTTTACGTTTTTTTTTTTTTGAGCCCCTCTTTCACATTTTTTTTTTTAGAATAGCTGACATTTTTACTTATCGAAGATTGTTCTTTGCCTGAACATTTCCAGATTATGCCAGAACGAAGTGAAGAGTGGAGGTGAATGCGGACATCAGGCGCAGCAAACACCTGATAGATACTCGTACAGTTCGTTCAAAAGTCAAATACAGAATAAATGCATTTGATTGGTAAACCAAATTCAAACGTGACGTTTCAATATCTAATGGTAATACATGGAATTTACGGCAAAGCTCGACTAAATAATAGCGCTAATAAGTGGGGGCGTGGTGGGGCTTTGGCGATTGGCGCTTTAGTCAATCTACTCCACAGCCAATCACGGGCCCCCTCACTGCTCGGGCCCTGGGGCTTCAGCCCCACCCAGCCCTATTGTTAATCCGGCCCTGATTGTATTGTGCGATATCGTATTAATTGCAGCATTTTGTTGTAGAAATCACATTGTGAATATAATATGGGATTCCACTTCAAAATAAACTCCTCAGTGTAAATATGTAACCTTCAGCATCCCACCCTATTTTGCACAGGAGCAGATCAGCGGTCTGGTGAATCGAGTGTGTGGCAGAGCACTGGAGAAGAGTGGAGTGAAGCAGAAAGTCGTGGGCACCAGCAAGACACCAGCAAAACGAAGCCCCAGACACAAGAGCTCCGCCCTAATCCCCCTCTCCAGCGCCACCTCAAAGAACACCGGCCGCACCTAACCAGACCGTCAGCGACATTCCTCCGGGTCTCCTTTTATATCAGGTGTTCCTAATACTTGTGTATAAACACTCTTCAATACTCTTTGTACCTAGTGTATAATATATCAATACAACAAGCTGTTATATTGCACTTTTGTATTACAGATCCGTGTAGTTACTGGCTGGTTAGTCCAATATATTGAATGTACGGAGGTTAAATGTTACATCGCATTTCACGTCAAATATAAGGGGGCGAATACACAATTGTTTGGGGCACCTGACATAAGGCTATTGGGTCTCATCCAACAAGCACGCAACCTTTTGCACTAGTATTGAGATTGGTTTTTAGATGAGTATTTTCGGGTTGTTTTAGCATTAAATCGAGTATAGATATGCGTATACATAGATATAAATATATCCTATTCGATTCCTATCATTTGTGTTTAACTGGTGCTGTAGTGACACTTTTCTCCATCACCCTTACGGCCTGGTTGTCTCTTGGGCTCACGTTTATTACGTCTTAAAGCTTTCAGGAACAAGAACCAACATGCCCACACTTATAAAATAATAATAAATACTATAAAATAATAATTGCGGGCTTGACACTTTTGCATAGATTTGACACTTGAAGGAGCCTGCAAACGTTTCTGATGCCACCGATAAGAGATTTCCTTTGGGAATTCCCACCTGGAGATCTCAAGGAACCCCCCTCTTTTAAAAGCACATTCTGAGGCCTTTTAATAAAAATCTTTGAAGTACAAATAAGTTTGATGCTGAGGGCAGTTTGTACTTGTTTTTAAAGTTACTACGTCAATTGTAAATGCACTTTCCCTTTTATCCCACAAACTTTTGCCCCCCTGATTTTATTTGTAATTGGTTACCAGTGTTTCTTGAAAATGCTCCACCTGTTTTGCCGTTAAGAATGAAATCTTTAAATATCCTTTTAATTTTCATAGAAATATTATTGCGAAATACTAATATCGATCCAAAAAAAGCCCCAAATATGTTTCTATGCTAGTAAATGTTAAATTGAGCCTTTGAGTTCGGGTCTCTAGGGGTTTGGATGAGAAGGTCGAGATGAAGAAAAAGCCTTACTTCTACATTGATTTCTTCATTGATATAAATTAGATGTTAACAGGGTTGCTACAAAAAATAAGTGCTGCTTAAATCACAGAGAAGTATGTCATAGTGGTGATCCCTAGTTTTTTAGCTTTACTTTTTTTATTCAAAAGGAAAAGTCTTTTACCCAAAAGTAAAGTATTGTGTATGCCTAGCTACCCATTGCACTGACTGTATCAAAGTCCTGTAATCAAACATGGTAGTCGCCCCTTTCCAAATGACTGACTTGTATTTAAGGTTTAAATAAACTGAACAGTGTTTCCAAAATGTGGTTGTATACTTTTTATGGCCTTAAAATGTTTTTTTTTTCTTTTGTTATCCTTTCATCCTATTTTATACAGTAATACTCCTGATCCTTGTACTGTTTATTTATATGCACTGTTACTCAGTCCCTCCAGTCCAGTGGAGATCTTTTTGGTTACTTTTTTTTGTTTTTGTTTTAATAAATCACTTGTCAATCCTTCCAAAAATGTACTGGCCTCATGTTTTTGTTTTGTGGAGATGCAGAGTACTTTGATGTTACGGACAATAATTGGTAAAATGGCAAAATTATTATTCTATATTAATTTGTGTTAAACATATAAAACTACAAATTTTAAAACAAAATAAAATTAATAATTTTAAATGCTAGAAATTAATTTAGGCATCACAATGTACAGTATGAAAAATGTCTATTCAAAATATTACATTTAACAGTGTTAAGTTAATAGTGTTTTTAAAGATCAACTTTGAACGTTAGGTGAAAATGTAAATGCAAATGTAATCTAAATGTAAAAACGGGAAATGAGTATGTACAATTAAAAAGCCGGTATGTGTTGATAACAGATCTAAAATAATACAACTGTTCATTGTTAGTTCATGTTAGCGCAGGTACATTAATATTACTGGCTGTTGATTTTAATATTTAGTATATATTAACATTAACTGAACAACAATGTTCCCAGCTAGTTTTATATCAAAGACTCGGTGGAAGATATTTGCCTTAGATCACTATGATATGAAATATCAGTTCCACATTGAGACTGTCTTTGAGGCCCCTCTTATTTCAAGGTATATTTATTTTATATTCAGCTCAATAATGTCATATGCAAAAATGAGCTCCGCATTACAAATTCATGCAACATACATCAGGGATATTAGCGGGAACACTGTAAAATGTTTATTATTATATAATTCTGATGCAATAGGTAATACGAAGAATTGTGTCATACATTGAGTTGATTTTTTGTATTGGGAAAGAATAAAACAAAAATCACAGTGCTAAGAGTCAGAAAGAGCTCAGCTTTCTAGGCTGAGCACAAACAGCGTTCTATAAGGCTCCAAAATCTTCATCTCAAAGTGTTGCATTAAGCCATGAAGAAACACCTGGCTGGTTTTCAGCACTCCTTCTGTCTGGGCCTTGATGTAAAACATCAGGTTTTCATCCAGAAACCAACTTAAACGAGTGCGTTTGCAATCCGTGGCCACTAGGGGGCCTGTGTGTCGCTGTCGTCTGAGCTTTTGAGCAGCTCCATTTCTGGGAGGCCCATGAGGGCTGTGTCAGCATGTACCTCCTCCTCATCTGACTGGACCAGTGGAGAGTCTCCGCTGCAGCTCTCCTCGCTGGCATCCTCTTCATCCGGACCCTCGGTCACGCCGCTGATGGTGTCGGTGCAGGAGGAGGAGACGGAAGAGACGGTGTGCTGTAGCTCTGTCTTTGAAGGCACCTTCAGGCTGATCTCTGAGGGGGACGAGCCAGGCTCCAGAGCCGGACCACCTGCAGAACAGATAGAACAAGGGTAAAATGTGTCACGCCATCTATTTCAGAATATTAACTAGTCCTGAAGTGCAGTCGCAACCTTGAATACTTGAATGCTATGAGAGACACGGTAGGAGTCTAATGTGTTCACAGTCATTCGACTCATTCAGACACAAATCTGCACACTTTCCTTTCACATTTTCTGAGTATCTGCAGTATTTAGTGGAATGATGAAACTAGTTTAGGATGGAGTAAAAATCAGTACTATATCACTTCATTCATCATTCAGATTTGGTGCTCAAGAAACATTTCTTGTGCTGCTAAATATTTTTGTGAAAACTGTAATACAATTTCTTTTTTCAAAATTCAGAATGATGAATATAAACAAATCTGATATAATTTTTTTAACATTATAAATGTCTTTACTGTCACTTTTGATAAATTTTATTAGTTCTGGAATAAGTAGAAATTAATATCAATTTTTCATAACATTATAATGTGCTACAACAACTGATTTTGGTTTTAGTGTTTAATATTTCATTTATTTGGACACTAGTATAGAATTTTAATATTAGTGTATTCTAATCCTGAGAGGTGAGGAAACTTTTGAATTCTGATCAGACAGCTCAAACTGAAATGGATCTGCATAAAGTCCTGTTTTAAAACACATTTCCAAATGTGGTTTGAGTCAGGTACGTCCTAAAATCTGATTGTGACAGTGGATTTGATTGTGCTAGCGTGAACAAATCCAAAAACATTAAAACAAATTCAGGTTTTGTTCTGCAAGTTTTTCGTTTTTGTTTATTCCCACAAGCCATCTCTATTATGAACACTAAACACTCCCCAATAAAGACTCCATAGTACATCAATTCTACTGAGTGCAATATGTTCTATATACAGGTATTTATGCCACCTACTAATTTTTTTGTTACATTTTCTATTTATATACCTGCACAAGCAACATATATCTCTGCACCACCACTGTCCTAGTTTTTCCCATGTAAATAATAGTGGTCGACCGATATAGAGCCAAGGCCGATATATCGGCCGATATCTGGCATTTCCAAATATTGGCATCGGCCGATAAGTTTTTTTGTTTGGCCGATGCGTTCGAGGCGAGACTTTTATTTTGACGGTGCTCAGAGCGGCAGCGCCTGAGCACACAGTGCTCACATTCTCTCTCTTGTTCGCTGTCGTCGTTAACAGTGCTGTCTAATACGGATAGAAGTCTGTCTAATAATCCGATAGGAATTAAAATGTATACAAAAAGTATTATAACGATTGCTTTTATATTATTAGTAATAGAAAGGCAAACATTATAATACTTTCTCGTTTGCCGTCAGCATTCAGCAAATATGCATTTACATAATTTAAACAAATCTTTGAATGTCTAATGAAAATTTAATTTCACAAACCTTGCAAACTTAGTCGAATCCAGTTGTGAGATCTTGTGAAGCGTGCATGTGACCTGCATGATCGCGTGTACTCTGCATGACTTTCGGTCTGTGTAAATTGAATGCTTTAAACATTAAATTCGTGATTTTAAATTATGCTGCTCTTTATGCATTTGCCCACTGTCATATTCATGTCATTTTCACTGTGTGCTGTGTGTAAAATGAGTGTTACCTTGGTTTTATTTGAAAAATATGATTCCCAATGCACACAAACTTCCCAGAATACTGAGTGCTCTGTTGGTTACAGTTTACTTCCTTTTTAATTATATTTTTATTAAATATTTATTTATTTGTCATCTAAAGTATAAGTATGTTTATTTTACAAATTTAATTTTAATAAATTTTCAAATGATTTCAAATTTCTTAAATATTAATGAAAATAAATACAATTATATCTGCTTTATATCGGCCACCCTGCTTTCCAAGATACCGACATCGGCTGTCAAAAAAGCCAATATCGGTCGACCACTAGTAAATAACAACTTGCACATATAATTGTGTAAACTGTTTTTATCTTGGATTTCAGTGAGGTCCTGGGATTTCCAGTGCCACAAACAAATTCCTTGTCTGTGAGCACACTTTGCCAATAAAACTGAATCTGAATTTTGCACATTAGTTATTTATGTGTTTGTTCTATAATAAATATGTAAAAAGCAAGCAAACATGAAATCAAGTTTCATTAAAAGCAAAGCCCAACCTATGTCAGGAGACTGAGTGCTGCTCTCTTCCCCTACGGAGCTGAGGAAGACATCGAAAGCCTCATGATCGGACACATCCGTAAGATCCATTTGTTCCAGGAGGTCAACATTCACCTCCATTGAGGACATACTGCCTATTGGATCTGCCCCAGAGAAAGAAAGAAACCTTCATTTTGTGAACTCTAACACCAAACCAACTGTTCACTTCAAAACATACAGAACAGCAGGTTTAGTTCAGGAATACACAAGCAAATTTCACAACGCAATACAGTGAATAGATTGACACATGAACAGAGGAGCCTAGGACAAAGTAGATGTCCTGAAGAATGAGGGATGCAGAGGAAAGCATAGAGTACCTCACACATCAGCGCAGCATTAAGGCAGCAGAGAGGAAAGAGAAGACCATCAGTTTAGCATCAACATCCTTGCACAAGAGCTTTAACCTCCCATTTAACATAGTAACAGTATGTTTAAATATTCATGAAGGGAAGGACACAGCCTTGAGCAGCACATCATATAGAGTGGCTGTGATTCAAACTATTTTGCTGTTATTTTCTGAAGTTTACTAAGAAAAACAGAACAATCGCATTTTGAATTCTAAAACACTGTTTACTGTCATATGTGTTTGCCACTAAATACTAAACACATAAGACACTACACAAGGAGAGTAAAGATGGAAAGAAAAGGGTTGTTAAGGGTTGTTACGAATCAATTTCAGACATTTGAACAAGTATGTGCAGAAGTGGTCCTTCGAAAATAAGTAACTGACCTCTCCTGTCGGTGATCTGGAGGTATCCTGTGGAGAGGTACTGCTCCATGTCTTGCTGAAATGCCTCTTCAAAGTACTTCTGCCGCTCCTTTAGCTTGACATGCTGCGCATGCTCCATCTCCAGCACGTTCTGGCCATGTTCCGTATCGAGCTCCACTAAAGAGAGACATAAAACACCAAGTAGGTTACAAAATGACAGAGAGAAAGAGAGAGAGATGGGGGATGGAAGCACAAAATGAACTAGAAAAGGGAAGTGGATTAACCCTCAGAGAATTGATGCAGAAACATGCAACATTTGCTTATAGCAATTAAATAGTATTTAAATGAACAATTAAATTATAATAAATAAAAATTATCATTTTCATTTCTCACCGCTCACCAAGGTTGCATTTATTTGACGAAGCTTTAGTAAAACTGTAATATTGTGAAATATTATTACAATTTAAAAATAATTGTTTTCTATTTTAATACGGTTTAAAATGTAATTTATTTCTGTGAAGCTGAATTTTTATCAGCCATTACTCAAGTCTTCAGTGTCACATGATTCTTCAGAAATCCTTTTAATTTCATGCTCAAGAAACATTTCTTATATTATCGTATTTGAAATTGGTTGTGCTGTTTAATATTTTTTTTAGAAACTGATTTTTCAAGATTCTTTGATGAACAAAGTTCAAAATAACATTTATTTGAAATATTATTTATTTCTAACAATGTAAAAATCTTTGATCAATCACTTTTGAACCGTAGTGTTCTTACATCATTTTTGTTTTATAATTATAACAGCACTGAAATGTTGAACTCTTGAAACCCCAGTGTTTCAAGAACACAAACATGTTTTTTAAGTCGTTGCCTTCTAAAAACACATTTAAAGATAGAATATTCTCTGAGATCTCTGGAATTAAACTGCCCAACACCACACACAAATGTTCCAATATCAACACAATACAAGCCCCAATATCTGCCTGATAGGCTTTTCCCAAGACACTTTGCAAATATCTAAACCAAACCTCTGACATCTGAACTTCAAGATAACATCGCATACATTGTCAAACATGCTTTCTACAGCACATCAAAGAACAAGATCCTACACAAGTGTCTTTCCAGCATGCTAGCTTACCACAGAATGTGAAGCTTTTCTAGTAGTGGCAGAGAACGCAACGCTTCTTTTGTGTGAGCGGCACAAGAGCGTAAGTGATACAAGATGCAGTTAAAATCTTTATCTTTCACAGGAAGTGCATACTCTTCTCTGAAAAGCAGGAAGTTTGCCTGTGCGATTTGAATGTCACTGTGGTGTTTATGGGTGTGATGTACACTTAAAAAGATATGGTACAAACATCCTGCCAAAGCTTATGGTGACGCATCCTAGATGCAACTTTCTAGAATGAAATAAAACATTTCAAGACATGGTCACACCAATCACCCTGCATTCTGGAGAAAGAAACTTTAAATACATGCACGTATGCACACAGCACCATCAAATGGCAGGCATTGTCTACCATCATAATCCTCCTGTGTGTTGTCTGAGGAAAAGAAATCCACTGACAAAGCAGTGAGATGCACCTCTGTTATTAGGATGTGGTCTTAACCACAGTCCTGTCACACATTCTTTTTAAACAGATGCTGGTTGAACAGTGTTAAATAAAAGTGCTGGGCTGAATGTAAGCATGCTCACTAAGAAACCATTGTTGCCCATTTTGGCACAATATTAGCCTTGCAAAAATGGGCTAAATCATGTAAATTAAGTTGATGCAAGCAGATTTAAAATGAACTGATTATTTATGCATGTATTATCAAGACACTAGTTTAGCAATATTTGGTTGACACTGCGATGCCATCTACGGTAATAACCTGCTTCAACCCCTAACGCTTGTCAAATCGATATTTCACAGCAGGATCATCGTTATTCAGTCTCTTCACAGTAATAACACTACCTGGTTTTAGGAGTAAAAAAAATCTATTCGTTTTGATTTTATGCTAATTGAATGTTAATATAAATATTGGCTTGATGTTAATGACAATAGCATAACTCTTTTTCTCAGTCAATATTAAGATTTTAGGCAAAAATGTAACTAAAAAATCCTAACTCTTTCAATCAAAAGTTTGGGTCAGTAAGATTTTTTTAGAAGCCAGTAGCTTCTTATGCTCACCAAGGCTGCAATTAAGCTAACTGTTTTCTACTTTATAAATTTTAAAATGTAATTTATTTCTGTGATGCAAAGGATTACTCCAGTCTTCAGTGTCACATGATCCTTTAAAATTCATTCTGGTATGCTTATTTGGTGCTAAGTTATTAATGGTACTCAATTACAAATAATTGTTATTATCAATGTTTCTTTTTTAATGGTAGTGTATCACAGTTTCAACAAAAAGATTAAGCAACACTGTTGTCAACATTGATAACAAGAATAAATTTTTCTTAACAGAAAATAGAAAACAGTTTTTTCACAATATTAATGTTTTTACTGTATTTCTAATCAAATGAATGCAGATTTTGGTGAGCAAAATCTAAATTATACCAAACTCGCCCAGTTGTTTATTTCTAATTACACTTTAATTATTTAATAATTATAGTAGATTACTCAAGTTCAACTAATTTGAAGGGCTCTACATGCATGAAATGGATTTATTATGCCTTTGACATCACAGATCAGGATAGCTGCTACTGAAAGGACTGGGACTGTTCTTAATACCCCATGAATATAGCTACTTTTTTCTACTTAATGCATTTGAGCTTCAGGTGATTGGCTAAAAAAAAAAACAGAGCAGAGCAGCCATGAGCTCCTACGCCATCTGAGCAAGTGCCATTGAGATGAATGGGAATGCTAATGAATAGCTTCCTCCTCCTTGAATGATTCCATGTCCACAAGAACTAAAACATGGATATGGCATGAAAGAACTAAATCTGCGGGGATAAGCTGTGCCTTTCGTCATATTTTCCGTTGCGTGTGTGTGACAGCTAATGATAGATGACGGCACGGGATGAGCCCCAGGAGCTCTGATCACACTTGTCACATCCTCCACACACATTCCTCAGGAAAGAAGAAAACATGTTAAGAACGTTTGTGAGGGCCAATGCACAGAAAACCACAGCTGAGACTTCAACAACACAGTTTCATAATCTACTCACTGCAAAATTTCACTGATGACAATTGTCATAAAATCTCCATCAATCTTCTATTACGAAAATGGAGCATGAAACAAATATTAGCGTGCTGATCAAAGATGAGGCATCTTGCAGCTAATCAGTGGAGCATCTGGAAGCGGATGGTAATGCAGGTTCAGCCCTAAGGCCAGACAGTCTAATGACTCATTCTAATGAGCTGACCTTCCTCCACACACAGAACAGAACCCCAGAATCCAGCAACAGGAAGAGGAAGCAGAGAGAAGAATGTGCAAACACTGTCTTCTGGACCGACAGATCATTCATCACATGGATGGTTCAGTATCAGTCATCTGTCAACTGCAGAGCTATAAATAGACTCTGGTTTGTATGAGTAGATACTTTTCTTACTGTATTTCTTAAACCAAAAGGTTCTTTGTGTCAGAAGCACATAGTAAGAAACATTTCCACTCCCACAAATCAGAAGCTACAACCTTTGAAAATACTGTGGGGATGAAATCATCTTAAAGGTATTCTTAAAGGTTCAAATATGTGTGTGCATTTTAGCCACAAGTTTGCACAGCAGCTCTGCAGTTTTAACAGTGTCTTCTAGACCAGTCCCCACCACAACCACCTCAAGATGTCAAGCAAAAAACACATTCACAGACAAATACCAAATGCTCCTTTAATTTATATTAAAATTCATATCAATTTATACCTAGTTATGTTGTTGTGATGACATCTAATAGATAACATTCAATGGGTTAAACTGCTCAAATAATTCAAGTGAGAAAATATGAGAAAATAACAAATAAACATACATGCTATATTATGTTAATGACTAATGACAGAAGAAATGATAAAGGCACAATCTTTACTATTAACTATAATAATATAATATAAATACATTATAACAATTTTAATTTCAACATTCAATTCTGTCACATACACATAAAAAAAATGCATCTTGTCCCAACAATGGGACTGATTTCATGTAATTTGTATATTAAGCACTCATTCCATTGTAATATAACGTAATAAAATATTTCTCATTTCAGCTAATGATGCAATACTCTCTAATGAATGCTGAATCTCTGAGATAACTTTATGAGATTGTACTGCTTGAGCCACCTAGAGGTTGCAGATCTAAACCCCAATTTACAAGTCAAAATTGAAGCATGAAGGCATACAAGTTAAGCGAACAGCACTGTGGCTCTTTAAAACATCACATTGCAGTGATGATCTCCACACACACACAGCAGGAATAACCCCAACTTAAAGTTAAAAACTACAACAACTTGCGATCCATGACCAGAAGGTGTTTTGCACAGATTTAGAGCAACATTTCTAGATTTGACGTTTCCATAAAGTCTTTTATAAAAGTTTAATTCTATGCACTGCATAGGCTTGCATTATGATGGCTGGTACTGAAAAGGCATACAGACACAAAAGCCACTGTAGGCATCCTAATCTGTGCTGAAATTCCATTACTAAAGCCTGCCAAACCCAAAGATGACAAACAATGACTGCAAAGCACCAATTCAGATCTCTTGACATACCGCCAGAACTGTGATACATTGGCACATCAAATTAACCTTACAATAAAAGAGTGCCTGGAAACCTACAAGAATCTCTCATGCAGCTGTCCAGAGTTCCCGACGTGGACATTTTGTATTTCTCCTTGAAGAGTGTGGATGTGCTGAAAGCAGGACCGATACGCCAGAGACTGCAGTTCAAGTCAATCTGAAGAACGGCTAAATGAACATCTTATATTCTGCTGCTTGGTTTTATTCCATAAGCAGCTCTTCTATGGCCAGGAATGCTGAGGCATTGCCTGCTCAGGGACACAGAGCTAGAGATGCAGCTGGAGTGAGGAGGAAAGCAGGGAATGTACCATTCACAAACCTGTAGGGGTGAGGGTCTGTAGAAAACTGAGTTTCATGTCAAATATCTGCCTTCATCGCTTTGTGATCTGGGACTGATCTGCCGATCTTATACTGTGTATACTACACTCAACTACACTTATGATTAATGGTACAATTAGCAAACATAATGTCAGTATTAGTATGAATAATCATTAGTTAGTCAGTGCCCAAAAACACTGCAACCTGACAAAGAAGCACATTCACTCTGAAACTCCAGTTAACGATAAATCTATTAAAGCTGCATTTTACACTGCAAAGCACAGCTCCCTTGCTCACAGACAGGAAAAATGAATTAATAGAAACATAAATAATCATTTTAAAAGCTAAATAAATAAATAATCAAGTATAAGGTGTGATGTCTTGAGCACACTGCCCACACAAAAGACGAGCCAATCTCAAGCAACACCACCTACGTACCAAAGGAAGTGTTATAAACAGTCTTTACCACTTTCTCAGTGACAAAGACAAGGATGTAAAATAAATGTAAAAAAAACAAAACAAATCTTAGCCTTATTCTCAACATTTTTTTCAACAATTACAAAATCTCTAAGTTCAGATGACCTGAATTTTCTGTAAATAAAAGGCAAGTGAACAATGATTCCTAAAGGCAATTTCTTTTTAGTACAACATCTCTAACTGATACATGGAGGAGCTATGATGATAAAAGCGATTGTTATTTATACTGGACTGTAGGTATGAACAGATGGAGCAGGCAGACTCCCCTTGGAAGTCAGTGTGGAATTAATGGCATCATGAGACCAAATAAAGACAGCAGCGGCCACTCGCTAGAGCAGTTTTGCCCTCCCTGAGGTTAATTAGTGTCGTCTGGGTAATTACTACACAGTTCTTCTCAATGTTGAGCACTAAATCAGCTTCATGCGGTAAATAAAAATGCTAAATAATATGCAAAAATAATAAACTATGAACTGTGCCAAGTAAACTTACACTTCCACCAAATAAGAAACCATTGTAGACTCTTGTACCCCGTTCTTCTTTCAAAACTCGCGTTTGAATCATCAGTGGCAACGAAAAACACAGCGGCCTAGCGTGAGGGGAAGCCCTGGCTTAGCGTGCATTGAGGCTGGGATAGAGTGAGCTGAGGCGGCAGGGGTGAATGTAAAGAATGTGAATGAAAGTTGATGTATTCCCTCAGCGACCAGCACAGATCAGCTCTAGGCATGACGAAGCGGATATTGTCCTCTTTTGGAAGACCAAACAAAGTAGTTTTCACAACGAAGCACACAGCATCTTCAGGACATGGCTGCAGCGTCAACAATACTACAGCGAGAATAAAAGTTACACCTTCTTTCTTTGCGTGAACATTTGGGTGGCGTTATGCAAATCTTCCCACATCGTGACGTAGACATGTGGGGGCATGTTAGAACGAGGCGTTTTAGGTAGGCGTGGTTAACTCTTAACTTTTATAAAGAATATCTCTTTGGTTTTGAGACTTTAGTGTTTGCAACTTTACAGATCTTCTTTATGCACCAAGTGCTTGTAACACTTCAAAGAGAAAGGAAAAATTTAAATCGCATCATATGACCCCTTTAAATCAAAATAAACTATTTTTGTCAGTTGTCAATGACTCATTCCTTTTACTAAACTAGTTATACTTCATATACTTCTCATGTACATAAGATCTCTATAATTACTGAGTCTAAGAAATAACAATTAAAAATGCATAGTTATAAATAAATATAAATAAATAAATAATTAAAATGATAATATTATAATAAAATAAATAAGTATATAATTATACACACTCCGGTTCAAAAGCTTGGGGTAATTAATTTTTTATGCCTTTAAAAGAGGGCTTTTATGCTCACCAAGGCTGCATTTATTCGATCAATACAGTAAAAACACTAACATTGTGAAATATTCTTATGATAATTTTTTATATATATATATACAGTGGGGAAAAAAAGTATTTAGTCAGCCACCAATTGTGCAAGTTCTCCCACTTAAAAAGATGAGAGAGGCCTGTAATTTTCATCATAGGTATACCTCAACTATGAGAGACAAAATGAATATATATATATATATATATATATATATATTTTTTTTTTTTAAGTGTATTTCTGTGATACAAACACAGAAACATATTTCTGAATATTCAGCAGCCATTACTCCAGTTCTCAGTGTCACATGATCCTACAGAAATCACTCTAATATACTAATTTGGTGCTTAAATATTTAAATTTATTATTAGCTATGTTACTGTCACGAATTCGGTTCATGGACTTCCGTTTATTCACCACCAGATGTCACCCTTTCCTTTACATTGACTCTCGCACTACACAAACTGTTGCATAGCACCCCGGACTACATTTCCCATCATTCTTTGCACAATTTGCACACTGCCCTGATTGCACTCATTGCACACAGCTGTTTCTAATTACCTCATTCACTATATAACACCCACTCTAACCAC